GAGGAGGAGGAGGAGGAGGAGGAGGAGGAGGAGGAGGATCTCACCACAAACCCATCCAGCTAGCTTTTCATTAGTTTTCATCCACGTAATGTCCACGTTCCCTCATATTTGATATAAGGGGTCGCTCTTGGAATAGGTACGGAAGAAAAACTCAGCGTGAATATGTATTGAAACGAGAGCGAAGACGTCTGGTAGATTATAAAAGCGTTTATTGGATTTAAATCAGGCGTTTAACGGATTTAATTTTGTCTTGAAAGGTCATCAGTGACAGGTTCTGTTTTCAACTTTTGCACCTTAAACTATAGCTGGTAGAGATAAATCTGGGGTTTTATCTGAGCTTTCCTCAACGCCGATGTTGTGTGTCGATTCCTTGTTAATTTATTTGTTCAGTGATTTAAGAGTAAACGTAGAACTGTTGAAAAGACGAGCTTACAAGTTGAACGTTGCACTGGCATTTCGCGACGACGGCGCGAGGAATATGACGCAAATGAATGTGTCACGTGATCGCAACCCATCGATAGGGCACTAACACCAACAGTGCGTCACTTTCCAACATGGCGGCGCAGGGCTCTCAAGCAAAATCTGCAGGCAGAAATGTACGAAATGCAGGAGAAATCGTGCGAGGGCAGACTTTTGAGGTTGCACCTCGTTACACAAATTTAACATACATCGGCGAGGGGGCCTACGGAATGGTTGTGTAAGTATTTTTCTGCAGAAATCTTTAGTGGCTGTTCGCAAAAATGTCCGCTTCCGCGTTATTGTCACCCTTTGCACGAGCTCGACAGCGAGTTTGTGTTGTCTGCGGCGAGTGCATACCATGGCCGTTTCAACTGACTGTAGAGGAACACACTAGCCTTCAAATGTCAATTTAGATATCAGATATTCTATGTGCGCTTACATATCATTATGAAATGTAGACCATTGCGTTAGGATCAAATACTGGAAGCAGATGGGTATTTTGGTTCACTCACTGAACTGTACCCAACTGGGATAACACTGGGCACTGGGGGTTTGGCTGGGGACACAGGAGACTTAGCAAGAGTTCATGTCAGGTCATTTGTCTAGATCTAGATTCTAGTACTAATATGCAAATGTGAACTTATCAAGTCTGTGTTATTTACTGTGTATTCTCCTTTAAAGTTCAAGTGACCCGAATGCCTGAAGTTATGTACCAAATCAACCCAATGCCAATGCCAGTATTGCATAATTTCCATTCCATGATGAGTATTATTGACTGCTATCACTTCAAGTTGGGTTTGGTAACATTTGACTTGAGATTTTTTTATAAGTGTTAGATAATTAGACTTAGATCTAGATTGAGGCTATGATTGGGGGTTGTTAAGGTCGGGGGCAAGACAAGCCAAAATTGAATTTTTAAATTATGCTTTTGTAGTAACTCTTTTACTGGAGATTTTATTAACTTCTGTATTTTTAAGCCCTTTCCTTTGCATGTTTTGTAAAATACACGACAATGTTTTTTCCGTTTGATGTTTCTTACATCATTGTTTTAGTTGAAATTATGCAAAATACGTTCTAAAGGGAAGCAGATGTGGAAAATGCAATAATTGAGATTTAAATACATATAGCTATGACTGAAGTTACTTTCATTTTGTTATCAGGGTTGATAAAATGTAGGTACAGCGGACCCTTTGCACAAAGTTTGTACGACAGCCACTACAAATGTTACTATTGTGGGTTCCCATTCATTAAAAAAAATGTTTGTTTGTGTTTCAAGTTTTTGCTCCATTTAACTGTCTTTTTGTGAATAAATAAAATTTCTCTTTTTTGACCACTTGGATTGAAAGGTTCCCCATTCTTACCCCATTATATAAAAGTGTACCAAAAATTAATTGATTAAAAAATTCATAACTTGTTTGTTTATGGCTGGATTAAAATAAAAAAAAAGTTCCATGCTCTGTGAAGATACAGCTACAAAGTGCACCTATTTGTAAACACTTTCTGGCAAATAAAGATTTTTCATGGTCATTGCTGGGGGCTCTCGTGGCCTAGAGGTTAAGGTGTTGGCCTCTCATTCAAAGGTCCCGGGTTCGAATCCGGGTAGCGACCAAAAAATTTTCTTCTCTAAAATTGTCTCCTTTCACCTCCTTTCCTGCTCTCTTGCAATGTTCTTTTGTCTGCTTTCATTTCCACTTTCTGCCCCCACCCCCTCACCTCCTTTGCCCCTCCTCTGGGCTCCTGACTCTTTCTGCAGCCTTTCTACTGCTACTCCTTGGCTCCTCCATACTGCTGTCTTTCTGCCACACCCCTGATCTTCTGTGTAGGAAAGATCTACACCTAGCCTTCTCGGACAAGGGCGAAAAATCTCGGAGGGCCCGTGTGCAAGTTGCGCACGTTAAAGATCCCTTGGTGGTCTAAAATCGATAAGAGTAGGCTTCGGCCGCCACCCGGGCAAAATTCAAAATTTCCTACCAACTGAAAATATTAGGTGTGTCCCGCGCGCTCATATGACCTATGCAGTTACGAGCGCCGTAAAACACTTTACAAAAACAAAACAAAACATGGTCATTGCTAAATAGTATCTGCATGACTTGCATTCTCTGCTCCACCCACTCGACTCACCTGTTTTTGTAAGTGGTAAACAACAAGGGTAAAGCATTTTGCCCTCCTCTCCTAGCTCTTAAATCTTTAACCCTTCGACTTCTCTGACGGTGTTTCTCTTTCGTCTCTCTAGTCTGGTGCCCTTGCTTTTTGGACTAATTCTTTACTGAAAACCAGCCGTTTTATTTCATTTTTTTCGGGGGGTGGGGGTGTGTTTTATAGCGCTTGCAACTGTGTAGGGTCATTTGAGTGTGTGGGACCCATTAAACATAGATCAGTTGGTAGGAAATTTTGAAATGTTTTGCTCCTCATAAAGATCCCTTGGTGGTCTAAAATCGACGAGAGTAGGCTTCAGCTGCCACCTGGGCAAAATTCAAAATTTCCTACCAACTGAAAATATGAGGTCTGTCCAGCGCGCTCATATGACCTTATGCAGTTACGAGCGCCGTAAAACACATACCATTGTAAAAAAACTGCTTTAGAATTGTTGTATTGTTGTCAGCTCGTCACCCTCTCTGTGATATATTTATGTCACAGCATTTTCATGTTTTCAAGGAATGGTTCATTGTAGTTATTCCCCTCCCCATCTAATCTAGTGGGTGGTTAGTGACTGTTGCAGTGTAGTCTGCTTCTTTTACTTTGTATGTCACTGTGTCTGTTTTCATAGACTTTGTTGTGGGTGGTTGGCGGGTGCTCTAGTGTGGTTTGCTCCTTTCTCATCAAACACATATTCTTAGCTCTCATTCTTTTTTTTTGATAGTTACTCTCTTGTAACACCTCTAATCTTCAGCACTAATATGACATCCCTCTGGGATAATAAAGTATTATCTTATCTTATTGTGTTGCGAGTGCTATAAGACTCTTACTAAACTCATACATGTTTTCTATCAAAGCACAATCATTATTATGCTAGCTTTCTGCAAACTTCCACTCTGTAACAAACCTTCCTTTCTATTTTGATTTCCAGGTCAGCGACAGACAATCAAACGAAGCAGAAAGTTGCCATCAAAAAGATCTCGCCGTTTGAACATCAGACCTACTGTCAAAGAACACTGAGGGAGATAAAGATTCTCACTAGGTTCAAGCATGAAAATGTAAGTGGGATCAGCTGATGAATTGCATAGTTTTTGGTTTTTTTAAGAGTGTTATGAATGTTGTACAATTTTTCATAGCAGAAGATCTTGATCCATAACTTTTTAAACCAGATGCTTTTACAAATGTAGTACCTGAGTTTTCTTAAATCTTACATAGTCCCTGAGTTTTTTAAAAACTATTTGAAGAGGTAAGTGGTCTATATCCGAGAAATATGGCAGTTAATGTGCTCACTCAGAAAAGATTACATCTTAATAACAACATTACTACTAGTTTGAAAATTACCATAATAAATGGTAATTCATTTATTGTACTTATTGAAAATGTTCTTGGTTTTGTTCTGTTGTCTTTCCTGAATTCCGATCACTGACAATTATTGTTTCTTCATAATCGAAAATGACTGCAGGCTGCATGCTTTTGTCAATCCTGTAAAGTAATTGCATCTTAAAAGAATCTGTAGTAAAGTTATCTGTTGTACAAACGTCAACGTCCACATATCATTAGTTTGTCTTATTTTCTGATTGGTTCCAAAGTTTCATTCTTATTGGTCGAGAAATAATGCGGAAAAAGTTTGAGAAAACAAGTAACTTACGTTCCTATCCGGTTGAAAAATATGTCTGCTAGCGGTGACTTAAGTTTCATCACATACGCAAGCTCATTAACATTGCTATACAATCTTCTCTGTGGAATCTAGATAGGTCAGTGTTTGAAGCTGAGTTTTGTTCTGTCATATAAAACTTTGTGGGCCCATACAGTGCTGTTCGTTGTCTCTTAGTGGGTGATTGGAGGGCACCACTGGTAGGTTGTACTTCTCTTTGTTTCCCTGTTTTTTGTGTTTCTGTCTTTCTTTCCCGCTTTTTTCCCCAGCTCTGAATGTCCATGTGGGTGGTTAATGAGTGCTTTATTGTGGTTGGCTCTTTTCCTATCAAACATCTTTGATCCTTATCTCTCCCCCTCCTTTTTTTGTTGTTGTATATTTCCATCTGGTAATAACTCTAATCTTTGACCGTACATGACCTATTTGTCTTGCAATTAGTGTAAATCTCTTACTTATCAGAGACTAAACTAAAAGCCGAATGTACGTTATTGTGTCAGTGTATGTGTTCTTCTTATTACTCAAACAAGCAAGTAAACAAAAGCTCTTTGTCTCTCCACAGATCATTGACATCCGAGACATCTTGAGAGCGCCAACAGTGGAAGACATGAAAGATGTGTATCCTTTGTGTGGCTCACCTTGTGCTATAGATTCTGAATGTGTCGCAACATGGTGGTAACGGGCATTCGTCAATTCTTGGACGTATGGAATTATTTGGCTTATCTTCTTCTTGTTCATCTGTAAATGGACATCCCAGTCTCTAGTGCGAAGGCTACTGTTCTCTGCAGGTCCTCAAGGCCCCCATAGAGTTTTGGGTCTCTCTGCCTTGGGTTGGGCCAGTATTTCCTTCTAAATGCCTTGAGCATTGGGCAGGCTTGCAGCAGATGGTTTTTGTTTGGTTGCCAGTTCGGCACTGACACTGCTCTGCATTACAGATCTTTAACTTTGTGTAGAGGTATAATATCAAAGTTTTTTTTTTTATAGTCTTGCTTTTTATGTTTACCAACTTTGTGCATTTGATTGTTTTTCAGTAAAATCCACATTTAAATGGAACTAAAAGGTGTTGAGCAAACAAAATAAAAAGTATAAAAATTGCCCAATGGACAGACAAATGTTGGTTTCTTTAATGTCATTATTTTGACGAGTGCCTGATTTCTCCACCATGTCACACAAATTGCAAATTGCCAATTTTTTTAGTTCCCTCTCAGTTTATAAGTGTTTATGAAGATAAGTTTTCATACTTTAAAAAAAAAACTTTAATATCTTCCTGTTAAAAAGTTGAAAATTCTGAGAACAAAAAGGTTTTTTTGTGTTGTTTTTAAAAACGGTAAAAAATATGTGTTTGATTTTAAATAAATATTTTCATCTTGAAGTGACGAGAAGGTAGACTGTATAGTCAATATACCAGGAGACATACAATGTGACACCTTGCTACCTTACAACTGCAAAGTTTTTTTTTGGACATTTTTGGTCTTTTTGAGTTACTAAGACTATCTGTTCTATCAAAATCATTAAATTATTGAAGTCATTATCAAGATATTCAAAGAATTGCATTTGAAAAAGCTCGACATGTTGTGAACATAAAAATTTTAACTTCAAATTTCTGAAAACTAGGTACTGAGCAGATAGAATTTTGTAATTCTAGGGTAATGACCTGTTGAGCTCATACTTCTCTCATAGGCACTTTCCATCTCCACCATTTGATGGACAAACAAAGCAATAAATCCCCTTCTTTGTGTAACACTCCTCCATACACCACTCTGCCGTAAGCTGACAAAACTCTTTTTTCTTCTTCAGAGCAGTTTCGAAAAAAAAAAATTTGTTGTCAGCATAATCATGTAAGAATAGAATCTTTTAGAAATTTAAATTCTAATTTATTAAAAAAACTGGTAACAGTTTCAATTTGATTTGATTTTTTTTTTGCACCAGTAGGGTTACTGATCAGGCTTTCGATTTAGCCCCCAAAAAATTTTGGCGCTAAAATATAAAAATGCGTTTTGTGAACTTACGACAGTATTTTATTATGAAAAGTGATGTGTGAAAGAGTCTTACACTGAGCAGTCAAAATGATGATGTGAAAAGTACAGGGTAAAATACACAATTGAGAAAAATGAGTTGTGACCTTTATTTATAGCCTGGTTTGGACATGACTTGAACCTGATGGATACATTTTCTATACAGTGCGTTTGCAGAGGTTGAAGTCTTTAGGTTTGTTTTTTTGTTGGGGTTTTTTTTGGGGGGGGGGGGTGTTCATGTGCACTGAGACGCTAAATCCAGCTTCTCCAAAATCCTTCAGTTCTGCAATTTTGGAAATCATGGCACGGGTGGTTAGAGGGTGCCACTGATTGGTCCTACCTCTTTTCTGTCCATTATTTGCTTTTGTCTGTCTTGAAGATTTTTCCCAGAATTTAACAACTTTGTTTTGTCGATTTGCTTCTCTCTACTCAAACAAACAGACAAACAAGGATACAGTGAAATTTGAAAGATTGTGGGTTGTTGATGGGCGCTCTGGTGTGGCTTGCTAATTTTTTCCCATCAAAGATCTATCATTCTTATCTTTCCTCCTTTTGTTTGTGCAATACTCTCTTGCACTAACATTTCTAATCCTCAGCACTTACTGTACACGACCTATTTATGTTGCAAGTGCCGTAAAACTCTTGCTAAAAACAATCGGAAGCCTTGGAGGTTTTCATGTCAACTGCTTAGTGTAAGATTCCATCATCCATCACTTTTTAGAATGGTGTATGGCGGAGTTTTACTGTAGGTAGTTTACGGGTGCTCTGGTGTGATTTGCTCCTTCCTTCATGTGAAATATCTATCGTTTTAATCTCTCCTTTTTTGTGTTTGTTTCTCTCTAGTAACACCTCTAATCTTCGGCACTCATATGACCTTATTGTGTTGCTGGCGCCGTAAAATGCTTAAACAAACAAGGAGTCTTACACTTAACAGTCAGTGTGGAGAGTGGTGTTGTTTTTTTTTCCTTAATAAATATGTGCAGCTACATTGTGCAGTGTCTAATGGAGACAGACATGTACAAGCTCCTGAAGACGCAGCAGCTGAGCAACGACCACGTCTGCTACTTCCTCTACCAGATCTTGCGAGGGCTCAAGTACATCCACTCGGCCAACGTGCTGCACCGCGACCTCAAGCCCAGCAACCTGCTCCTCAACACCACTTGTGATCTCAAGGTGCAGGAGACCTTTATTGCTGTTTGTCCTTTTGTTCTGTTACTGTTTGTCGTCCTTGGCTGTTATTGTCTTGCATTATCTTAAGTTCTGTTACTGTTGATTCCTCAACTCTGTTACTGCTTGTCCTCAGTTCTGTTATCGTCTTCCAATATCTCATGCTCTGTTACTGTTTATTCCTTTGCTCTGTTACTTTAAAAAAATCTCAGCTCTGTTTCTGTCTGGTCTTAAGCTCAGTCACTGTTTGCACTCACCTGTATCTACTTGTTTTGCTAGTACCGGAAAACTCTAACTAAAACTTAAAATAAACTCAACTATGTTACCGTCTATCCCACCCCTTTAGCTCTATTACTGTTGATTTAGCCTTCATTACATTGTTACTGTTGATTTAGCGTCTGTAGCATTGTTACTGTTGCTTCAAGCTTTGTAACATTGTTACTGTTGATCAGCCTTAATTACTGATACCCACCCCCTCAAAAGGGAAAGAAAAGGGGTGGAGAGAGAGAAGAGATTGAGGATTTTGGCATGGAAGGTGTGTGAGCGGAATGTTGGCGGGTACTCTGGTTTGGTTGGCTCCGTCTTTCCTTCTATCAAACATTTATTTTCCTTATCTCTCCTCCTTTTTTTGTGTTTGTTACTCTCTTGTAACACCTCTAATCTTCAGCACTTATTTGACCTTATTGTGTTGCAAGTGCCGTAAACACTTACTGAAACTAAAAAACATGTGTTCTGTTTTTGTCATGGTGTTAGACTTATGAACTTGTTTGCCTCTCTCTTGTTGTCATCTGATGCGTGAATGGGTGGTTGCAGGGCCCCATTGATAGGTCCTACTTCTTTTCTGTTTCTATCTGTCTGTTGTACATTTTTCCTACATTAAATGTTCCTTATTGTGTATCTCTTTTGTGGGTGGTTGGCTGGTGCTCTGGCGCGGTTTGCTCCTTACTTCCTTCCAAACATCAAGCGTCCTTATGTCTCTTCCGTCTTTTTAGATTTTTGTTACTCTCTTGTAACACATCTAATTTTCAGCACTTATATGACCTAAAAGTTGCAAGTGCTGTAAAAGTCTTACTAAAACAACTACAAAAAAAGAATAGATGTGACCTGAGACCCGTCCTCATTTACTTCTCTGTTACAAATTATCGCCGCCAGATTATTATTTAGTTTTAACTCGCTCTGACCCGCGACCCATCCTCATTTGCCTCTCTCTTCTTATCATCGCTAGATTTGTGATTTTGTTGTTTTAAGTCACTCTGACCTGCGACACTTCCTCATTTGCCTCTCTCTTATCATCACCAGATTTGTGATTTTGGCCTGGCGCGTGTGGCTGACCCTGACCATGACCACACAGGTTTCCTCACGGAGTACGTGGCCACGCGCTGGTACAGGGCCCCAGAGATCATGCTCAACTCCAAGGGTTACACCAAGTCCAGTATCCTTGACCCCTCCATGCATGGCTTGTGTGTCACCTAGTCTTTACAGAGTTTTGTCATAAGTTTTTGTCTGTCTTTTTAATGACCGTCCATTCGTTTAGGCATTGGGTTTTACCAAGTTTTTGTCTGTCTTTAAATCTTTTTCTGTCCGTTTAGTTGTACTGTTTTATTTTTTTTTCTGTCTTTTTAATCAACCTTAGTTCTTTTAAACGTTGGATTTTTTTCAGTTTTTGTCTGTCTTTTAACTCTTCATTTCTAGCGAGTCGCTCCCAGTGCTGGCAGCAGCTCTGGTGCATTCCTTTACAATGACTTCGACATCAAACCGCTTTTTGGCAATTGCCAAAAAAATGTCTCCTTTACTGGAAGATCATGGGTGGTTGGCGGGTGCTCTGGTATGGTTTGCTTCTTTCCTGATCTCTCCTCCTTTTTTGTGTTTGTTACTCGCTGGTAACACCTCTAATCTTTTCGGCACTTATGTGACCTTATTGTGTTGCAAGTGCCGTAAAACTCTTCTAAAGCTTTCTGGAAGATCATTCGTTAGACGAAAAACTGTTGAACTATGTTCACTTGTTTTGATTTAATGACCAGTTTAGTGACATATATGTCAGCCCCCCCCCCCCCCCCCGCGGCAGTGCTGCTGACTGAAGTTTCTTTAGGCCATTCCCAAAGGGGGCAATATTAACATGTTCTTATGCACAGCAGAATTGTAAATGGGCTGACTTATCAATGTCATGCTCATACTGTTCCAGAACAACATAGGGGGAACTGCTGCTTTTTCTTTCCTCATCCTTACTATCGTAATTTTTCGTCTACTTCTTTTTTATGTTTGTCACTCTCTTGTGAACTGCTATTTTTGGGGTGCCTTGATAGTCGAAGCAGAATTTGTGCTGTTGAGGCTAGAGAGTTGAACGGAGTAAGCCTGATTCCCTTTTGGACTTCTCTGTTGACATCCACCCCTTGGCACTCATATGACCTTATGCAGTTGCGAGCACTGTAAAACTTTACTTTCTTCTTCTTATTCCTCGTTCTCGATGACAGCAGCTAGACAGTCTGTCCTATGTCAAATCTAAGAGATTGCCAGAGAGCATTCTCTTAAGGGGAATCACATTCTGCCTCGTCTGTACGAAGGGTGGCGTAGCTCGGGTAGTGCTGAAGGATTTGGTTGGCATCCTCTTAGTCGTGTCCACATTCACAGATCGCGGACTCTCCCACTTTTAATTTAGTGTGCATATGGTGTAAAACCTTACTAAAACTAAAACTAAAACTAATTTATGTCGGTTTTTGATTTCATCCCAAAATAAGGCCCCAGCATAGTGGGTTTACCCCCACGAAGAGAAAGAGTTAAACCATTGTCTGTTCTTTTAGTTGAAGAGTTTTATAAGTCTTTGTACATTCTTTTGATTGCTGTGCATTCTTTCAGTCATCATGAACAAGAACTAAAGAGATAAGAGTTCAAGTCAGGTTGCGGTGTTTACTTGACCCAATTGTGTCGAAAGCACTGTTAAACAAGTTCGATCGAACCTGCTCTAATGGCCACCTGTATAAGACAATCACCTGTATAAATAACCACTTCCTACTTCCCACCTTGCGTGGATTTTTTTCTGTTCTATAATGTGCCTGTCCAAGAGGACCATCAGTAAAAGATGACCGCCTTTCTCTTCAACAATGGGTGGTTGTCTTCTTGGGCTGGTTCAGCTCTAATCTATGTAACTTACAACTGACTAGCCATGTGGATATCTCAGAGAGTGAGCGCTTGGTGAGTGCTCTGGTGTTTTCAGCTATTTATTCTTTAATCATAAGTATTAAAGAGGTTGGGGTTAGTAGTCAGGGAAATAAGAAAGAAATGCATGTTAGTGACACCATTTCAAACAATTGATTTTGTTATGCTTTCCTGGCAGTAACTGACATGGTACTAGAATCTAGCCTCATTTTATGAGCACTACCTTTATTCACTGACGTTTTCAGGGAATTTTAAAAAATCATAGTGGCATTCATGATGCATTGCTCCTCCTGAAATCTTCAGAAATTGAAAAGGCAGTATGTTGAGTTGAGTATTTCAACAGGATTTAGTGCACACATTGTTTTGAAAACAACTTTGTGAAAAGAAGGTAAATTTCACATCGTACAAAAAATGTCACCATAAAAAGTATAGACAGAATTTTTTGAAAGGTTAATTTTTTTTCCACTTAAACTCAATCTGAATCGTGAAGGCTCTTGTCTTTCTATTTAGCTTTCATAAAAACCACAATAATTTTGTTTATGTGGTACTCTTTGACTTGTCGATGGCTTTTGATAAAAATTTATGTGGATAGTTGGTTGATGCTTTCATGTGGTTTGCTCCTTCTTTCCTATTTCAAGCATCTATCTCTCCTCCCTCTTTTCTTTGCATGTTACTCTCTAGTGACACCTCTAATCTTCTACACTTATATTACCTCTTTGTGTTGCAAGTGCTGTAAATTTCGTACTTAAACTACAAAAGTTTAATTTTGTCCAAGAAGTATTCTTCCTTATTTTCCCATTTTGTGTTACAATTGCTGTAAAGCTCATACTAAAACGGCAAATTTGATTTATGTTTTGATTATGTCTAAAAAGTATTCTTCCTTGACCATTGTCCAGTTGATGTATGGTCAGTGGGATGTATCCTGGCAGAGATGTTGGCCAATCGACCGCTCTTCCCCGGCAAACACTGTATCCTTTTCAAGCAGCATGGAATGTTTGAAATATACTGTTCGCATGTTAAATTATTGCTTCCAAGTCCCAGAACTTGGGGTTTTTTTGGCGTGTTTTTTTTAAGGGGGGGG